TTCGGGGACTTCCTTTCCACCTCTCTTGCGATCGTTGGGTTCGTCCTCCGAGGCCCTTATGTCAGTTGCTGCGTCACCGGCTTCCTCTTTGAGATTTTCGGGGTTCGGTGCCTTGGCGCCTTCCCAAGCCCTTGCTCGATGTGTTCACGGAGGTGTCGTCTCTCGGCTGGGGCTTTGTGACCAGTGCTCACCAGGCAGGCCAGGGACGGTGGGGTCCGTCCTTCCATCGGGCTCACAGCATGGTTCGGGAGTTTGCGGCTGTCTGGTTCGCGGTTTGGAGGATTCGGGTCGCTCGGGGATCGACCATTCCCCTCCATTCGGACTGTTCTCCAGTGGTTCATTGCCTGAACCGCGGGGGTTCTCTTCGGTCCTTAGCTCTTTGGGGTTGGTTCCTTCGAATGGTTTGTCTGCTGGATTCTTGGGGTTTGGCTCTCCGTGCGGTTCACGTCCGGGGAGTGTCCAAAGTTCTGGCGTACGGTCTGTCTCGCTTCCTTTCCCTGTCCACGGAGTGGACGGTCGACGACGACTCGTTTCGTTGGATCTGCCAGACGTACGGTCTCCCAGATGTGGACCTCTTCGCGTCGGCGTGGTCTCGGCGTCTCCCAATATATGTGACCCCCTTCCTCGACTGCGAAGCGTTCGCAGTGGATGCCTTTCGGCAGGACTGGTCGAGGTGGGGTTACCTGTACCTCTTTTCTCCGGTCCAGCTGTTGCTTTGGGTTCTGGTTCGGTTGGAGACATTCCCAGGGAGAGTAGTCCTCGTGGCCCCTTGGTGGCCGGCCCAGCCTTGGTTTCCGGTGCTTTTGGCTCTGTGCCCGAACCCGAGACGTTTCCCGCGGCTCCGCCTCTTTCAGCAGGTCGGTCCGATCCGGTATGGGGCTGGTTCGACCTTCTCCTCTGTCTTCGCGTCTGGTCTTTTTGACGTGGGTGTATCACCATTTCTATGGTGATCAGGTGGCTTCGTTGATGGTGTCCCACCTGAGAGCTTTGTCTCGGCGACAGTATGAAGTTTCCTGACAGAGGACCTTCTCCTCTGTCTTCGCGTCTGGTCTTTTTGACGTGGGTGTATCACCATTTCTATGGTGATCAGGTGGCTTCGTTGATGGTGTCCCACCTGAGAGCTTTGTCTCGGCGACAGTATGAAGTTTCCTGGCGTTCTTTTCTCCATTTTCAGGCTCTTCGTAGGTTGTCTTTTCTTTCGGATCGGGTTGTTTTGTCCTTTCTTGGCTTTTTCAGGACCGTCATTTGATGCCTAATACTGTCACCTTGTATCGTGCGGCGCTGGTGGAGCTGCTCAAGCTAGCTTTCGGGGTGGACGTCACATCCGCCCCGTTTCGTAAGCTTTCCCGTGCTATGTTTCACCTCCGGCCTGCTCATGCACCTCCTGAGCCGTCCTGGTCCTTGGACAGGGTGCTCTCCTATCTTTCCTCTCCTCAGTTTGTGGTGGCCCCTTCGGTTCCTGATTGTTTTTCCAAGGCTTTGTTTTTGTTGGCATTGGCCTCTGGGGGCCGGGTAGGGGAGCTTCATGCTCTCCTCCGGCGCAGGGGTTTCTGCTCTTTTGGTCCTGGGGTTAGGTTTGTCCGTTTGCAGCCTTCTCCATCTTTCCTGGCGAAGAACGAGACGGCTGCTTTCCGGAGGGGTCCGTGGGTCATTGATGCTTGGTTGGTTCGGCCGGGGGTGCATCATGTGTTGTGTCCAGTTGCAGCACTTCGCTGTTACCTGCGCGCTTCAGCCGGGGTGGCTGGGGATGCGCTTTGGGTTGATCCGATTTCCCTCGTTCCCTGTTCCAGGGCTCGGGTCTCCCAGGTTGTCCGCAGGGTTTTAAAGTCTAGCCAGCCTGCGGTCTATCCTCGCGCCCATGACGTTAGGAAGTTTGCGGCTTTGGTTGCCGTGTTTGGTAATATGTCTTGGGCACATATTCGGGCGCGTGGATTTTGGAAGTCGAACAGGGTCCTGGCCGCCCGTTATTTGGTGAACGTCCCTGCTCCTCGGCGTTCTTGTGTTGCTTTAGGTTGCAGGCTGCAGCCAATTGTCTCGACTTCACGATGAGGAGTTTGTGGCCGCCGCCTTCAGGGTAAGTCCCCTTTTTTTCTTGTCATTGGGTATGTAGCTCTAGGGAGTCGTAGGGGCTCCCCACAGAAAACCAGCGTTGAATGTAATGAAACGCCATTTTCTGGGTGAGCCCCGGAGGCTCCCTGGCTACCCTCCCTCCCATCCGGTCGGCGAGATTTTTCGCGTTGGTTGAAGCCTAGTTTCCGAACTGAAGGCAGCCGGCGTGGTGAGGTCCGAGGCCCCTCCCTCCCCCTGCCGGGGAGGGGAGGGCTGCGCGGACGACTGGCGCGGCAGTAAATTGATTGTTTGATTGTTTTCCTTGGGATTGTAGGAAGTTTTCTTCCCCTCTGTTCGGTTTTTGTTGTAGTTTCTTACCATGTGGGGTTTGTTTTGTTATGCCTACCTTTCTGGGTGCCTAACCCCCAGTCAATGGCAGATAAGGAAAACCCCCAACCATATGGGGTTTTCCAGGGCCATTGCTCCCTGAAACCTCTCTGAAGGGGCCAGGTTCTGGCGCTGGTCCCTGGTAGGTCTGAACTCCATAACTAATGTTCCGGTCTAACATAACATACATTAGCCCGATAAGTTCCAGGGAGCCTCCGGGGCTCACCCAGAAAATGACGTTTCATTACATTCAACGCTGGTTTTATGGAAAAATTTAATTCAGTGTGTGAATATTCAGGTAATGCTTTTTATGGGAAAATTAAATTCAGTGTGAATATTCATGTTATGAAGCATTTCTTTAAACTGATTAAATTTGTACAACGAGGTTCCAATTTAATTTGTTTTGCTTCATTTATACTCTCTAAGTGATTTGACTTGATTTTGGGTTGATCACAGATTCCCATGCTCCTCCCTGGAAACACAAACCGTAACTGTCTATTTTCCGCTTGTTACAACTTGTAATAAAGTTGTTACATCTTGGCTTAACGTGTTTATGACATATTAGAACGTTGGTACAACTTGCTATATTGATTGTTATAACTGGTTAGGAGGTGGTTAGGAGGTGATAAAACTTGTTCAAACGTTGTACCAATGTCGTAGTTTTGGTGTGTATTTGGCGGGCTCCCACTTCTATGAACACAGTAAATTCTGGTCCTGGTGTTCTTTAGGCCTATGCAAGTCGAGAGGCCTGGTAGTTTTATGAGTGTGTTATACCGGAGTCAGTGCACCAGGTAGTAGCTACTGAGGGCCAGTCTAGAAACAGTAATTGCAGTACAGTAATAAATAAAGTGCATACAATTTAACCCTTTAACTGCGCAACGCTCCTCCAGGCCTAGGCTTCGGGTGCGCAACGCGCCTCCAGGTGTTTTTATTTTTCACGTTCCATTCAAAACTCCCGCGGCTACATGGGGTTCACATCAGCTTCCTCAGGGCTCTTGTAAACAGACGTCATCTTTAAAAAAAATCATGGTCCACATTGCCGGGTATCAGAGCCTCAGTAGTGAGTGAGCAACCAAGGCTGGCGCTCGCAGCATGAGCGCACAGCTCTGCTATTCAGCGTGTGACCACAGCATCGCCTAATAATGTCAAAATATATATATAACCTGTTTTATTTAGCCGTGATAGTATTATAGAAGAGCCTGAGTGGGATAATGACTGGGTACAATGTTCAAATATCAGTGATTCAATGCTGTTCACGATGTTCACAGCGCTAGCCACAGCACCACAGCATTATTTCGTCCATCTAGGAATCTTCAAACGACTTCTTAGATTCCTTTTCAAAATAAACTTGTGGTCAATTATTCATTTACAGAAATTAGTGACCAGGATTGGCCCAAACGAGGCAGTTGCTATTGGCCCATACGAGGCAGCTGCTATTGGCCCATACGAGGCAGCTGCTATTGGCCCATACGAGGCAGCTGCTATTGGCCCATACGAGGCAGCTGCTATTGGCCCATACGAGGCAGCTGCTATTGGCCCATACGAGGCAGCTGCTATTGGCCCATACGAGCTATTTTGGTGAGAGATGTGACGTAATTGTAGCGTCGTCTGCTGTCTGCTGTGTGATTTCTCATGCAGTGTATGATGGCCACTGTACTGTTTGGACACAATACCGGCTTACTTGCATAGTTCTAGTAAATAAAAGAAGGAAGATAAGTATATATAACATGTGTAAATAGTGTAATAAAAACAGTGACAGTATGGTGGGTGGAGCAATGTTGGCGAAGTGAGGGAGGGCTGGCTGGGTGTGGCTGCTCACACTCGCGGTGTTCTGAATGTGTTGATGGTGAATGTATATTATGTGTGACAGTGTATAGTCTGTAAATAGATTGTATATATACATAAATTAGCATGATACATGGTAAATATGTGCAAGATATGTGTACACAAGTGTCATGCACGTAACAGTGTCCTTGGACAATACGGATGTTTTACTGCCATAATGTAGTGTACGTGTTCATTATACATAGGATTAGCATGTAAAAACAAATAAAATGTATTTGGAACTGTGCGCAAAAAATGAACAAAAATATATTCGCGGCAACTCGCGCGCCCCGCCCCGGGCGCCCCACCGGCCCCGAGAGCATACTGCTCTGGCGCACGGGAAATGATGACGTCATGCCCCACCTTTCGGACCCCATAGCAGCCAAAGTAAGTACAATTTCGAACTTCTGTCGCTATACCCATATACAGGGAGGGGTTTTTGACACTTTCAGAAGAGAGAAGAATTTTTTCCTGAGGTTTCATTTCCTGCGCACTGGGGGAATGTCATATTTATAGGCCGCGCAGTTAAAGGGTTAAACTGGTATAGTTATTGTATACTAGAACCTAGTATCTTCTCTATACTAGAACCATTGGGTGTGGGTATTAGATTAGTTATTGTATATTTTAAGTGTATTTAAAATTTGTGCTGACTCCTTTGCAATTATTTATAAATTTTTAGTTTATATTGATTGTAGTGAACTTCACTTTTGTACGTGTTTTAATTTTACTTTATTTTACAGGCTGGTTAAGGAGCAAGGCTTACGTAGCACGCACCAACAGCAGCCCCCTCTCCTTCCATCACCTCCGGCTCCATCTAGTAGTATTAATAAATTAAGTGAAAATCCAAATATTCGATCACAAATCCCAACTTTGTCTCCAACATCACAAGCATCTAACAACTTGACCTCATCATTAATGAACTCCAACTTGAACATGATGACTAGTCAGCCTGCTCAACCAATGTTAACTTCACCAAATTTCACCCTTGGAGTAAACTCGACAGCAGGAAATTCATCTTTTGGTTTAGGCCTCATGAATAATATAAATAACAGTAGCATGACCTACGGAGTAAGATCAGGGGGTGCAACAGCATTGCCTTCAAGTGGAAGTATGTTACAGCCCAACAGTGGAATAAATTCTTGGGCAAATCAAGCTCCGTCTCAAAGTGCACGAATGCAAACGCCTAACTTTTCTGCACTTGACAATTTACTTCCTTCACAACCCAAATTAGGGAGTATGAACCAAATAACATATAATACTGCAATGAACCCAATAGGCCATCCAAGAGTAGCATCATCTGTGAATACCTTTGGTTCTATGATGTCTCCCATGCAGCCTCTCACTACTTCATCTTACTCAGCTGCTTCACAACCTGGAGTTAAGCCATTAAGTTCTTCAGATATTAATGATTTTCTTAGCTGAAGTCTGAATTGACATCATTTTTACTCTAAATTTTAATAAATAAGTTTTTTTATTGTGATTGATTATTTTGCTGTTTTATCCTCTCGGTTAATAATTTGAAATTGTTTGTTATCAGGATGTTATTGCTATAACTATTTTTGTAAAACTTTTTATGAATTATTTATGTTTTCTGGGGGGGGGAACCCCTTGTGGCATCCTAAAGCTACTATATCTATTAGTGTGCCATACTACCATCCTCGCAGAGGATTAGAAAATGTTGGCATTTATGTATTAAGTATTTATGCAACCAACCAGGAAGGGTCACACAGAAAATCAGCAAAACAAAACTGACAAACAGACCACTGCTGACTTCAAAATGAGATTGCAGCATCATGAACCAGCTAAAGAACTTGCCAAAGTATGCAAATAATAAAAAAGTCCTGAAACTAGTACCTGCTTGTTCACCCCACCTCCCCACTCATTTGGGGGAAAGAGGAGGGAGACAGCGCACAGTCTGCCAGCTGCTCTTTGTGGCTGTGCCTGTGCTCTCTGGTGTAGTATGAGACAGGAGTTAAGAGCATTTGGAGCTGCATGTGCTCAGAATTTTCTTCCCTGTGTGCTCAATACTACTGCTAGCGTTATATTCTCTGGATCACTTCCTTAGGGGACCTCCTTGATTGCATTGGCCTTCAGCCAAAGTGAGTCAGTTGTCTTTGGCTTTCTGACTTTCTTCAGGTAAGGAGTGATTTTGGCCGGAGCAGTGCACTGGTGGTTCACAAGCTGCAATTACAGTGTGCTAAGGTCGGCCTTTGCAGACACATGTGACTGGCTGCATTAGCTTAATCGTTTGTCTCCTAATACAATTATATAAAGGAGCTGTGTAGCATCCTAATACCTAGGTGTCCTATAAGGTTATTTCCACAGCAGGACCTGGAAATTTCCTGTGGATTTGGTGGTCTTATGGATATCTGTCCCCGAATCCACTCTTGCTTTATGTGAGTTTGAGAGTTGCACGTCGTTCGTGCCACGTGGCAACGTTCATTCCTTCTGCCTCCACAGTGCTGCCTGTTGGGCCGGTGACACCGACCCTAAGTCACGTTTGGTTTGTTCCCATCATGTTGTTGTTCTTACTGTCCCTCCCAATGACGTTGGGGCTTTTCAGGCAGCAATAACTTTGTGTCTTAGTTTCTCCCTGTGTTGCACCAGTCTGGATTGTGTGCACAGTTGGATGCCTTGGAGGTGCCCTGTTAAATGTATAGGGACTTGGAATTGTAGGTGTTGGTTAACTCTAACTTGATTCCATCCAAACTTCCTCATCCTTCCCCCCTCGAACATGGTTTGCCATGTTTATGTTCTTCCCTTTTCCCCTCCTTCTGGCCCCGAGGCATCAGAGGGTTTAAGTTTAGTTAGGGATATGGCTCGGCCAGCTCCGGGAGTTGCCCCCTTCCAATTTGGACACAGAGGCAGTCGAGCCTGTTAGCCCTCTGTTGACCAGCTTACTCATTAATTTTGGTTGTCTTATGGGGTTCCTGTGTTCCTTGGCTGGCAGACGTTCCCTTCTTCTCACTTGGGTTTTGCAACGGCCTTTGTTGGTCCAACCTGTTGGCATGTGTGGGGATTCAACTCTTTTATGGGTGTTCTCCGGAGGCTCTTTTTTTTTTATTTCACTTGGCTCCCTGTTTGCCACATTTTCTTAGATCCATTTTCTTAGATTTTCTTAGGGTCTTGTGAGGCTTCATGCCATGGTCCCCATTGTCTCGACGACACCTGGGTTGGGTAGCTTTCAGGCCTGCTATCCTTTATATCACAGGTTACAATTAAGAATTCTTTTATATGACAAGTTGGATCACACAAGTGGACAAGCGGTCCACACAACAAGTGAACCATATTTACCAATCACCAGCCAGAGTGGTCCACACAACAAGTGAACCACATTAACCAAACACCAGCCAGTTTGGTCCACACAACAAGTGAACCATATTAACCAAACACCAGCCAGAGTGGTCCACACAACAAGTGAACCACATTAACCAAACACCAGCCAGAGTGGTCCACACAACAAGTGAACCACATTAACCAAACACCAGCCAGAGTGGTCCACACAACAAGTGAACGACTGAGTTTCCATGATTTTCGTTCACTGATTTATAGCACCACTATCTTTGAAAATTAATTTCAAGGCTGAAGCGTGAGAAGCTAGCTACATGTGGGGAAATCTCCATAGACATTTTCTATGGTGAAACAACGTGAGTGAGGGTGGACAGATATAGGGAATACTGTAAACCTCACATGGTTTTCCTTCAGATGTGTCGCCGTAGTTCAGTGACCTATGACTTTGAAAGTTTCAGATTAATAAATCATTTCTAAAGCAGGTGTTTTAATAGCTTTTTATTATCCTAATCATACAGTATTTCTAAACTAAATATAAAACAAAAAATATACTGTAATATGATAAACATCTGCTATTTGAGAAATTATTTATGATATTGGCTCTAGCTTTCAAAACAACTCGAGCACGGGTGGACGTATTTAATCCCTGTACATACAGCACCATGTGCATTTTCTTTCGGATGTGTCGCCACAGTTCAGTGACCTACGGCCTCGAAATAATAAAATTAATGAATCATTTCTAAAATAAATAGTTTTAAAACTTTTATTATCCTAATAATGTTGCTAAACTAAATATATAACCAAAAACATATAATATGATGTAAATCCAATATTTGAAAGAAATTTATGTTACCAGATCTGGCTTAAACACCAGCCTACTGTATAGACTTAGTCCTCGGCATTCATACAGTGCGCACACAATGCTATTAGCTTTGTCTGCGAGTGACGTGTTTGTCCACCGGTGGAAGATTATATAGTGGAATTTACCACTTTTTTACTACAGCTGTATTGTTATACGACAAGATATCTCAGAGGCTTGCTAATAGTGTCATATCTACCAAGAGGAAGAGGAATGTTTAATCCATTGAGCAGAAATTAGAATTAATAGAGAAATATGAACGTGGCTACTCTGTTACTAGGCTGGCAACAGAATTTAATGTCTGGAAAAATACAGTGTGTGATATCAAGAAACAGAAAGATGATATTAGGAAGTTCCTTGCTTCAAGTGATAGTGGTGCAGTAAGTGCAGATTTGGATTTTGTCGAGCCATTTAAGCATAAATTAAATGATTACCTGCCAGCAGATGATCTAAGGATTTTCAGGTATACAATACCGATGAAACAGGCTTTAAGTGGAAATGCTTGCAGGACAACACTTTGGCATCTAGGCTAGATGAGTGTGGTTCTGGCCGTAAAGTATACAAAAAAAAAGGTTTCAGCTAAGGTGTGTGTGAATGCAGACGGAAGTCATAGAACAAAGTGTGTTATTGTGGGGAAGTAAAAAACCCACGTGTTTTGAAAAAGTTAATGTACAGGCTACCTGTGGTTTCCGACAACTCTAAAACAGCTTGGTTTACTGGAGATATTTTTGTAGACTGGTTCAAAAATCATTTTTGCAAAGAAGTAAGAGATTTTTAAATAAACAAGTGTGGAGTGAGGCAGAATGATGTCAAGGCATTACTCTTGGTTGACAATGCTCCAGCTCATGTAGGGCTTCAAACATTAATGTCAACTGATGGATGCATTAATTACACGACCTTACCACCAAATACCACCTCTCTGATCCAGCCAATGGATATGGGTGTTATATATGCAATGAAAAGGCTCTATAAACAAGCAATGAATAAAGAAATTATGGGAGGGGGTGGTGTTTGAGTCAGACGAAGATAAAAGACAAGGAACCGATTCGCGAGGTCAAGCAACACTGGAACGTTACAAAAAATACTTGATTAAGGAAGCAATTTACAACTGGGCTAAAGTTTGGGATGAACTTAGAGTCCACATTAAGAAATTGTTGGAACACACTCCTGTGGCTTGATCATGCTGATGAAGTGACTGAGGAAGAAATGGATTTTGAAGGATTTTCAAATTATATTTATCAAGAACTGTGTGCCGCTGGTGAGGTGGAGTTGACGCTGAACGATGTGGAGGAGTGGTTAGATATTGATGCAGTTGATCCACCCATTGGTCATTTAACAGATGATGAGATTATACAAAATGTTACTGGCACTGTTGATGAAGACGATGGAGAGGAAGATGAGGATGATCATGATTGCAGGTTACAACCTGACGCGTGTGCTGATGCATTGTTCCATGTTGATAAACTCCTTGATTTTGTTTCACAAACTGAGAATCCAGAGCTACCAGGCTTCTATCAACACTTAAAGACGATGGAAGATATTTGTCTCAAGGAGATGACAAAACGAAGGAAACAAACCAAAATGAGTCAATATTTTGCAAGAACTAGTAGCAGGAAATCAACCAGCACAGCCGTACCCAGCACCAGCACAGCCGTACCAAGCACCAACACAGCCATACCCAGCACCAGCACAGCCGTACCAAGCACCAACACAGCCATCATACCAGCACAGCCGTACCAGCACAGCCGTACCCAGCACCAACACAGCCATACCCAGCACAAACACAGCCGTACCCAGCACCAACACAGCCGTACCCAGCACCAACACAGCCGTACCCAGCACCAGCACAGCCGTACCAAGCACCAACACAGTCATACCCAGCACCAGCACAGCCGTACCCAGCACCAGCACAGCTGTACCCAGCATCAACACAGCCGTACCCAGCACCAACACAGCCATACCCAACACCAGCACAGCCGTACCCAGCACCAGCACAGCCGGTCCCAGCATCAACACAGCCGTACCCAGCACCAGCACAGCCGTACCCAGCACCAGCACAGCCGTACCCAGCACCAGCACAGCCGTACCCAGCACCAACACAGCCATACCCAGCACAAACACAGCCGTACCCAGCACCAGCACAGCCGTACCAAGCACCAACACAGTCATACCCAGCATCAACACAGCCGTACCCAGCACCAACACAACCATACTTAGCACAAACACAGCCATACCCAGCACCAGCACAGCCGTACCCTGCACCAGCTCAGAAGCCAACACAGCAGCAGCGAGCACCAGCAAAGCTGATGCAAACATCTAGGAACATTGTG